CCCTCCCTGCCTCCCTCCCTCTCTCTCTCTCTTTCTTTTTCTTTCTTTCTTTCTTTCTTTCTTTCTTTCTTTCTTTCTTTCTTTCTTTCTTTCTTTCTTTCTTTTTCTTTCCCTCCCCACTTGTTTATTGAGGAGGGCAGGTCCGAGTTCTGTCACCAAGAAAACATCATAGAACACTTCTGCTTCCTCAAAAGACATCTTGGCTATGTTCTCTCGTTATTTACTCCATTCCCACTATAGCCCATTAAAATCCTACTCATCCTTCAAGAACCTGGGCAGATCAGATTTCTACATGAAGCTTTCTGTAATCACCTCAGCTTAATGGGATTTTGTCTCCTTTATAATTATGTATTGCATATTATTTATAGCAATGGATCCAATATTTGTTAATGTTTAGTGTTACCTGGCAGAAACTTTTTAATACAGTTTTTATTCTAGAACAGTTTCATACGTGCAGAGTCAATGCAAAGATAGCACATAGAATTCCTGCTTACCCAATACCTAGTTTCCCCTATTATTAACATCTTACATTAGTACAGTAGCTTTGTCATAGTTAACGAATCAATGTTGATACTTTATAATGACCTAAAGTCTATACTTCATTCAGATTTCCTCAGTTTTCCCCTATGTCCTTTATCTGTTCCAGGATCATCATATAGGATGCCACAAAACATTTAGTTGTCAGGCCTCCTTAAGCTCCCTTAGCTGGGACAGTTTCTTGGACTTTCTTGTCTTTTGTGATCTTCCTAGTTTAGAGGATTATTCAATAGGAATTTTGTAGAAGGTCCCTAAAACAGGATTGGACTGATGTGTTTCTCATGATTAGATGGTGGTAATGAGTTTTTAGGAGGAAGACCACGGAGGCTAAGTGCTGTTCTCATCACATCATATCCAGGGTACACATTAACAGTATGACTTATCAAAGGTGACATTAACCATCACCTGACTTGACATAGTGTTTGTCAAGTTCCTCCACTGAAAAGCTACTTTCTCCATTTCCACACTGGACTGTTTGGGAGAAGGTCGCTCTATGCAGTTCACCCTCAGAGGACAGACTGTGTGCCACCTCCTTAAAAGCAGAGTATCTACATAAATTATTTAGAATTCTTTTGAATGGGAAAATTTTCCATTCTCCCCTTTTGTTTATTCAACCATTTATTTATATCAACATGGACTTGTAGATATTTATTTTATTCTGTGGGTTATAGTCCAATACTACTTTATTTATTTTCTTGCTCAAATTGTTCCAGCCCTGACCACTGGGAATTCTTACAGTTAGTTCCTGTGTCCCTTTGCTATATCCCCATCATTTTGGGGGAGGTACACTTTCTTGATTTCTGTCACTAAAAGATCCTCCAGGCTCATAGTGCGTATGTCCTGCCCCAGGCCTGGGATCAGCCACTTCTCCGGGGAACTCTGGATCCTTTTATTGGAGAATGATATTAAAACCAAGATCTGGGCACTAGGCATACTTGTTGCTATGGTGGTGTCCATGCATCTGATACAGCAAAGAGATGCATGTGTGTATAGTAACCTGTATATATGCATATATCTATAGATGTTCCATATGTAACTGTATGTATCTCTATTAAGCTAAACATGAGTTCATACCAATGTCTCAACTCTAATTCCTTTCCACATAGGTTATTTGGGGAAATTTAAAGTTACAGAATCCCAGGTACCACTCCAGAGCTAGTAATTCAGGATAAATATTAACCTTAAGTCTTTTGAAAGGCAACTACATTAACACCATTGAATGTTTTTCTTGGTTTAATATTGGAATCAATATAAAAATTATGAGAACTTCATATTTGTAAGTTTTAGTTTAACACCATTCACAATGTGGGTAAGTATTTATCTTAGTAAAACTTTGTTACCTGCCTATAGTTTTGCTAGTGTTAATTCCATGACCTGATAGAGTTTGGAAATTCTTACATTATGTGATTATTGAATGTCCCACTAGACTCTTGAAGACTGTGATTTGAAATCCTAAATATAGAAATAAAGACTGTAAGAACACAAATATAATAGTGCAAGTTGTATTCATTCGTTTTGATAGTATCTATCTCACTCGTCTCTTCTCCTCTTTCTTGTTTTCTTGCATTTTCGTGGGCTGCAGGCTCCAGTTCCGACACCATCTTCTGAGATGACCTCGATTCCCAGAATGCCCTTGATGCTACTCCTGCTGCTGCCCATCTTGAGTTCTGCAAAAGCTCAGGTTAATCCAGGTAACACGGCCGTTGCTCAGTCACATGCTTGACCAGCCGAACACTCAAGTCCATCAACATTCATCCTGGGATAGGCCCTGCCAAGGGTATCCAAAGGGTCGTGTTTCCCCCTTTTCCATTCATTCATTCATTCATTCATTCACTTTCATGATGAAACATGTCCAAAGCAGAAACAGAAACTAATATCCTCTGTCTGTATAACATCTTGGCTGTTGTGAAAGGGCTTTTGATCTAAACTAGGGTGGAGTGAATGGGAATTTTAAAAAAATGGGAGGCGGAAGAAGCATCCATTGGCTTCTGCATCTTCTAGGAAACAGGAAAGAATTTTTAGATGACTTGGAGAACTTCTGCAGGTTGAGTTTCCAGTTATTTTTGGCTAGTTTAGGCCTGTGTTTTACTTGGATGTCACGTTGTGCTTTGGGGACCCTGGTCTTATGGGATCTCAGAGTCTCTCTCTTTCCTGCCAAGTGTGGCCATACTCAAAAATAGATGTGTCCAGAGAAATCTTTTAGTTCTCCCCAACTTTTTAAAACATTGCATATATTGTTTTTAATTCTTTAAAGTTAATTAATTTTTCAATTTACATTCAAATTGGTTAGCATATAGTTCAACAGTGATTTCAGGAGTCTGTTCCTTAATTCCCCTTACCCATTTTGCCCATGCTCCCTCCTACCATCCCTCTAGCAACCTTCTGTTTGTTCTCCATATTTAAGAGTCTCTTACGTTTTGTCCCCGTCCCTGTTTTTCTATTATTTTTGCTTCCCTTCCCTTATGTTCATCTGTTTTGGATCTTAAAGTCCTCATATGAGTGATGTCATATGATATTTGTCTTTCTCTAACTGACTAATTTCGCTTAGCATGATACCCTCTAGTCCCATCCACGTAGTTGTACATGGCAAGATTTCATTCTTTTTTATTGCTGAGTAATACTCCATTGTGTGTGTGTGTGTGTGTGTGTAGATATAGATGTAGATATAGACATAGATATAGATATAGATATCTATTACATCTTTATCCATTCATCCATCGATGGACATTTGGTCTCTTTCCTTACTTTGGCTATTGTCGATAGCGCCACTATGAACATAGGGAGAAAATTGCATGTATATTTTAAACTTTAAATTGAAGTAAACAATTTTATCACTTGTCTATTACCAGAGTAATGTCTCTCAACAACTTATGTGAAGTTGGTGATCCAGTCTGGGCTTGCTTGAACTATTCTTCCGATCTCTGGGTTCACGCACGTATCTGGGAGTCAGCTGGTTATTGGTTCATTCATTGGATGGCCTTGGCGCTGACAACTGGGCAACTTAGCTGTCCTTTCCTCTAGCAGACTAGCATGGATATGTTTTAATGGAAATTATACAGGAGCAATAGCAGAAGCAGTTATGTGCAGCACTTTCCAAGCCAATGCTTCAGTCACGTTCGCAGAGATCTCATTGGCCAAAGCAAGTCACATGGCCAAGCCCAGCATCAGAGTGGAATGGCGTAAGAGAAATCACATGGGGATGGCTTGAATACAGGGAAGGGTGAAGGATTGGAGTCATTTTTTTCATGTTGGCGCAAATATAAATATAGGAAAGTGTACATACATACTTATACATAGTATAAGTGCTCCATTTGATGAATTTTACGAACTGAATACATCCATCTAAGCAGGATCCAGATTAAGAAACAGAACTTTACCAGATTTCAGAAGCTCTCCTCATGCTACTTTTCAGTCACTTCTTCTCACCCTCACCCCAAGGGTAATCATTATCCTGCTTTCTAATAATATAGATTAATTTTGCCTGTTTGGCAGATGATGTGTAAATACTCTTTTGTGTCTGGCTTCTTTCATTCAGTATTTTGTTGATGATATTCATCCACACCTTTGCATGCAGTTGGTAACTGTTTGTTTTCATTGTTGTACAATAGCGCTTTGTTTGAATATTTTATTTATCCAGTCTGCTGTGGATGGGAATTTGGATCATTTCCATTTTGGGCCCATCATGAGCAAATCTGCTATAATCATTTTTGTAAAGGTCTTTTGGTAGAAGTGTGTCTTCAGCTTTTTGGGGGGTATATGCCTGGAAGTGGAGTTACTGAATTATATGTTACATACTGTGTGTTTTTCTACATACTACCAAAGAGTTTTCCAAAGAAATTTTTACCAATATGCCAATCCCACAGTAATGTATGAAAGTTCCAGTTGCTTCATGCTATATTTGGATTTTTGAGGACATTTTTATTTTGTCCTCTTTATATAGCAGGAGGGTACATTGTGAAAATTCTCACCCTCTTCTCCTAACTAGAATTCTATCTCTGTGGGATATTCTTTGTACCTGAAAAGGAAATATAACCAAAACACCTTAAAATCAAAGATTTATTGGTTTAATAAACCCAGTACTGTATTACTTTCTTATAATAAGCTTAGTTGGTACCTCTCAGATCTGAACTCGAACACCATTCCTTCATTTCTCTCCTCTGAAGTCCTCCTACCCAGGTGAGGTGTGGTTGCTTCCTGCTACATTTAACAAGTTCACGACCATCTCCCTGATTTGATCTCCAAGGGAAAGTCACTGTGTGTGCACAGAATGGTAGCATGTTTTGGTGCCAGGCACTTTCACAGAGACTGGGATGACATGAGGACATTTTGATGAATAAAACAAACCAAAACTTCTGTGTTCAAGAACATTGTAATGAATAAACCAAAAGAGCTAGGCTTCTGTGTTCAAGAACATTGTTGTAGCCCTGTGGCGGGAAATGAGCTGTGTGAAGACAGAAAACAATTATCGTTAAAACGTTTTCCCGTTTTCCTGGTGCCAACCATTTATGTTGGCTCTTTCTCTCTCTCTTTTTTTAAGTTTGTTTATTTATTTTGAGAGAGAGAGAGAAAGCTAAAGAGAAAGCCAAAGGGAGAGAGAGAGACTCCCAAGCAAGCTCCACACTGTCAGCACAGAGCCCAATGCTGGGCTCGGGCTTATGAACTGTGAGATCATGACCTGAGCTGAAATCCAGCGTCAGAGGCTTAACCAACTGAGCCACCCACGTGCCCCTTCTGTTGGCTTTTTCTTCCAGAGATAAAGAAAGAAATGTCTTGACTTGCAAAGATCTTTGTAGGAACATAGAATATTGGAGGTATACTGAAGAACTAATCCTTCTCTCTACCATTTCTTCTATTTTACCAAGTTAGGCTAGAGACTAACAATGAGAAATTGTAATCAGTGTTAGGGGGTCTAGGCACAAAGCATGGGGTTCATGGAGTCTTTGGCCATGCACACTAATGAATGTGGGGTAAATATATAATAAACGCATGTTGATTTATGGATGACTTTTCAGAAGTCCTTACTGGTATCTACGGAAAGATGAAAATTCTTGGCCAGTTAGGTTTTCCCCACAAGTTGGTCCCATGGTATAAATCAATGGCATCTTGGATGTAAGTCAGGAGAACTGGGTTATCAACAGATCTTAAAATACTGCCATATATTTTAATAGAGTATTTGATATATAATAGAGTATTTGTCAGTCTTGACTGGCAAATAGTAACTGGGCTAAACATTAAATTTAATTAATATAAAGTCTAAAACAAACTCATTAGTTTAAACCCATTTTGGGGATTTCGTCATGGATGCTGGTGTCACCCCACAGAGGCTCCCAAGCCGTGCTAGTGTGATCTAGGTAGCAGATCACGACATGAGGCAAGAGGGCTGTTGGCTCACTGCTATAAGGCCCCAGAGCTTTGGCAGCTGCAGCCAAGCAGGTAGTGGGGCTGGTGGTAATAGTGGCATCTCCAGTAATGGCAGGGTTCAAGGTGGCATTGTCATTGGGGGCTGCAGTGTAGACTCTCCAGGTCCACCTGGGAAATACTGACATGCAGGAGTATGTACACAGTTCTGAAGTGTGGACGGCATGCCTAGCCAAGTTCCCATTGTACCATGTACCAGGGACAGGGACCTGATGACTGTTGATGCAATGGGAAGGTCACTGGAAGAGTTTCAGGCAGTTTCCTCTGTCACACTCATGGCTCAGGAGGATCATGTAGCTAGTGGCATCTCCATGAAACGATCATACCAACAATTTCTGAAAAGCATTTCTACAAATCAACAAATGGTGTGGACATTGTTGGAATATTCTGTGGAATGATTTGAAGCTTGCTTAGAAAATAGTATTTAACTCATTGGGGAGCCCAAGTGGCTTAATTGGTTGAATGTCCAACTCTTAACTTTGGCTCAGGTCATGATCCCAGGGTTGTGGGATTGAGCCCACATTGGGCTCCATGCTGGGTGTGGAGCCTGCTTAAGATTCTCTCTCTCCCTTTCCCTCTGCCTCTCCCTGCTCATGCTCTCTCTCAAATAAGGAAGGAAGGAAGGAAGGAAGGAAGGAAGGAAGGAAGGAAGGAAGGAAGGAAACGAAAAAAGAGAAGAAAAGAAAAGAAAAGAAAAGAAAAGAAAAGAAAAAAGAAAAGACAAGACTATCTAACTCACTTAGAAAGTAATTCTGAGGGAAAATCTGGTTATGATCCCGGCTTGGTCTTTAATTGTGTGACATTAAGCATGCCATTGTATTTTTCTTTGTATGTCCTTAATCTTTTCACCTGTAGTAAGGTGAAGTTGGATTAGATGATCTGTGAGAGGCTTTCTGTCACAACCTTACTGTGATTTTATGGTGTGGGAGTTTTACTGCCTATACTGAAGATATAGATGGGCTTTGGGCTCAGAAGCAGGGTCCCTGATCTTGCATGTCTGTTCTTTGTAAAAAAAAAAAAAAAAAAAAAAAAAAATCCAGCTTGTCCCCAACTCCCTGGCACTTCTCAGGCTTGGGTTCTAAAATCTGAACTTCAGGAGAGCCTTGCTTTTGAGGTTAAGCACAAAGAAGATAGCTGATAAATATACAGATTGCCCCAGCCTAATCTGTAGGAGTTCCATAATACCAGAAGCTTTTTGTTGGGCATTTTTTTCTCTGGAGGTGGGTCCAAGAAGAAGCCTTTCAGGAAGAAGAAACAGCATGTATGCGATGAC